TGCGACTGTAGCTACTTTTCCCCAAAACTTTGTCTTCAAAATAAGGGTGCGTCTTATATTCCGAAAAATACGGTATACTTTTATTACATATACGTTTGTTTGTTTGTTTGTTATGAATTTCGCGCAAAGCTACACGAGGGCTATCTGCGCTATCCGTCCCTAATTTAGCAGTGTAAGACTAGAGGGAAGGCAACTAGTTATCGCCACCCACCGCCAACTCTTGGGCTACTTTTTTTACCAACGAATAGTGGGATTGACCCTCACATTATAACGCCACTATGGCTGAAAGGGCGAGCACGTTTGGTGTGACGGGGATTCGAACCCGCAGATTGCGAGTCGAGCGCCCCCTAACCACGTGGCTATGCCGGACATTACATATAAGGATTAGAATGCATTGTTTCCTCAACTGGGTACTCTCGCTCTCAACGATATCGAAAGCAGTTGTTACTGCTGTATTCTATAACATGGTACGTCACGTCTACTCAATTTAAATGACTTGTATTTTTGCTGGTGTCGTAAATCCCATTCAAACTTTCTAGGTTAATAATGGAATATATGATAACACAGTCATAATAACTTTAAACTAGCTTTCCCGATACTAGTAATTATGCACGATAACGAGTAGATTAGAATTGTTCTCATATATATTTTTACATACATTATGCTATTTTGTAAGTACTTTTTACTGTTTAATTTCTGATAGCAATGTTGCATTCGAATGTTGACCAAATGATCAATGTTACAGAACCTCCATTTGTATACTGAAAGTTTCGTATATATATCGTCATGCATCAAAAATTTGCTTTAAAATTACAAATTATTTACTCAAATATACGAAGACTTTTTATTTGGGCGAAATATTTTTTTACTGAAACACACATAAAAAAGGATTTTTTTTTTTACACCGTCCCTAATCTATGTAATTAAGTTGTGACTAGATTACGATTCCTTGTACTGTAATACTTCCAGTTACAAATTGTTTGACAATTTTTTCCTCACAATTTTATCAATAATCTCGTTCACGTGCAAAACGAAATATTTATTATCTAAATTTTTGTAAGTTTCTTTGTTTGTTTTTGAATTTCGCGCAAAGCTACACGAGGGCTATCTGCGCTAGCCGTCCCTAATTTAGCAGTGTAAGACTAGAGGGAAGGCAGCTAGTCATCACCACCCACCGCCAAATCTTGGACTACTCTTTTACCAACGAATAGTGGGATTGACCGTCACATTATAACACCCCCACGGCTGAAAGAGCGAGCATGTTTGGTGTGAAGGGGATTCGAACCCGCGACCCTAAGATTGCGAGTCGAGTGCCGTAACTACCTAGCCAAATTTTTGTAAGCTAAAAATAAAATAATAAAATACCAATAAATACAACAAACCAGTCCACAAATGTTTCAAGAACTTTGCCAAACCATGTTAGTGTTATCGATCAATTACAAATTCATTCAACAAAAGCACTGTCTGAGTAATGATGAAGCGACGAAAATCACGCATTTCACATGAAATACAGACATAATAAACTGAACATGCAAACCATGTACATGTCTTTATAATACCCCCTGGTGGTTCAGTGATAAGTTTACCTACTTACAACGCTAAAATCTGGGGATCAATTCTTTGCTGTGGACAGAGTGCAGATAGCCTATTGTGTAGCTTTGTACTCAGGGAAACAAAATCAACAACAAATAAGTAATAATTTACCGAGATATAATGAGTTTATTGAACTCGGGCATTATGGAGGCTGACTCGAGAATAATGACCGCGTTGAATTCAGGTATTATGGAGCTCGACTCAGTAATAATGGTCGCCTTGAATTCAGGTATTATGGAGCTTGACTCGGTAATAATGGTCGCCTTGAATTCAGGTATTATGAAGGCTGACTCGGTAATAATGACCGCTTTGAATTCGGGTATTATAGAGCTTGACTCAGTAATAATGGTCGCCTTGAATTCGGGTATTATAGAGCTTGACTCAGTAATAATGGTCGTCTTGAATTCTGGTATTATGGAGCTTGACTCGGTAATAATGACCGCTTTGAATTCATGTATTATGGAGCTCGACTCAGTAATAATAGTCGCCCTGAATTCAGGTATTCTGGAGCTTGACTCAGTAATAATGGTCGCTTTGAATTCAGGTATTATAGAGCTTGACTCAGTAATAATGTCGACAGTACACTTTAAAAGTAGAAACGTAAGAAAAGTGTATTTAATTAGTTATACTGGTGACCAGGTTGGGTTTTAGTATCGTCTAAGTACATACCTAAGTACGTAGGTCCTTAGTTTAAACTTATTATGCTTATACCTGAGCCCTAGAGGTCTCTGACCTGGCCATTAAGCCCACGTATGTATAAGGTGCCGTTCAGGTTAAAAATTTTAATTAAGTATTAGAGTAAAAATTATATATGTTTTAAGTTACGTAAGTCATAACATATTTTAATAGTAATTATTATTTTAAATAAAAAACGGCTTTTAAAATAATTTAATATATTTTGTTCTCTTATTTACAATTTTAAACAAACAATTCATTTTGACGTATTGGTACCATATATCCCCACTCCCCAGTATCTCAGCGGAAAGTCTGAGGGTTTACAATGCTAAAAACCGAGTTTTAATACCTGTGGTGGGCAGAATACAGACAGCACATTGTGTAGCTTTGGCCATAACAGCAAACAAACAAATAAATGTACCATACAATTTGTTGCTACCAACAACGGCCCGACAGTTAATACTTGTGACACTCACTGTGTTCGAAAATGTGGGCCTTTGATTATATAAAATAAACAAAATTATATTACAATCTCTAGATGAGCATTTATGAAACACCTTGCCAATTTTGTTTTAATTTAGCCTTGAATTACGTACAATTAAAAATTATATGATTAAAAAGTGTGTCTAAAATTGGTGCTTAATTCTTACACAGAACAACTGAAAATTGGATAGAGTGGTTCATATAAATTCCGCAATTATAATTGTTTTCAACGACTTTGTTTGTAGTTAAATATCGTTGCAATGCCATACAGTACCTTCGTGTTAAGTAGACGTGTTTTAACAATTAACAATAAATTGTTGGAATATAAAAACCCTTACAGTAGAGATTAAAACGTCTTCTTTGCCATACGTTCCAGACGAAGGCTACTGCGAAATAACCAATGATATGATGGCGCCCACTCTGCTTCAGTTACAATTGTTATACAAATTACCAGTGCACTCACATCGTGACCGGAGCTTTGCAATTTTCTCCACAAATTGGTATACTAATGAATACAGTAAACTGCTTTGGAATTTCCCATTTAATTGCTTAGAAACCACTTATCTGAAAAACCACTATGTTCAGACGTCCAGCTGTTTCGTAAAAAGATGTGTGGATGATACGTCAAGATGTTCAGCTGCTTTGTTAAAGCTAAATATGTGGCTAATACTTCAAGACGTCCACGTTAGAAATGTGAGAGTCAACCCGACTTTCAGACTAAAAGTAATCACGTAGACGGTAAGTGATGCTGATTGTTTGTTCTTTTGAGTTGGCCGTTTAGCTCACATGTAGAATAAAATGCCTTTCAGGATGAAAATTCCAAATTCTTATTCTTGTTTTTTTCGCATAAGGAAAGTTTTGGAATTTTGAAAACCATCCATTTTCTGTTATACATGAAACGGTATGGAATATTTTTCTGATATATATGAAACGGTATATGGAATATTTTCTGATATACATGAAACGGTACATGGAATATTTTCTGATATACATGAAACGGTATATGGAATAT